GGGGCAGCCGCGCCCGAAGATGCGACTCTTTTCCTCCTCCTGCGAGGGCGGGGCGGGGCCGGGCCGGGCCCTGTCTCATCTCTCCTCTCCTCTCTTCCCCTCCCTGCCGTCTCCATCCTCCCTGCCCCGCGGTCCCTCGGCCCCTTATTCTTTGTCCTCCTTGTTCCCTCCTTCCCGGACCCCGCTGTCTCCCGCCGCCCTCCCGTGTGTGTCTCGTCCGCTGCCCGGTTCCCCTCCCGCTGTCTCCCTGTGTGTCCGCCTCGGCCCTTAGGATACCTCGACTACGCGGGGCCTGCCTCTGTCTACGATGGCGACGCCGAGGCGGCCCTGCTCAAAGGGCCGTCCCCGGAGCCCATGTACGCTGCGGCCGTGCGGGGAGAGCTGGGCCCGGCGGCTGCGGGCTCGGCGCCGCCGCCCACCCCGCGCCCGGAGCTGGCCACGGCCGCGGGTGGCTACATCAACGGCGACGCGGCGGTCAGCGAGGGCTACGCTGCTGACGCCTTCTTCATCACCGACGGGCGCTCCCGCCGCAAGGCCGCCAACGCCAATGCCGCCGCCCCCTCCACGGCCTCGGCGGCGGCCCCCGACGGCGACGGCGGAGGCGGGGTCGGGGCAGGCACGCGCGGTGCGGGATCGGGGGCCGGGGGTCGGGGCGGCGCGCGCGCGGGGGCGAGCACCGAGGCGCGCGCGGGGCCTGGGGCCGGCGGCGCGGGAGGCCGGCACGCGTGCGGCGAGTGCGGCAAAACGTACGCCACGTCGTCGAACCTGAGCCGCCACAAGCAGACGCACCGCAGCCTGGACAGTCAGCTGGCGCGGCGCTGCCCGACGTGCGGCAAGGTGTACGTGTCCATGCCGGCCATGGCCATGCACCTGCTCACGCACGACCTGCGCCACAAGTGCGGCGTGTGCGGCAAGGCCTTCTCCAGGCCCTGGCTGCTGCAGGGCCACATGCGCTCCCACACCGGCGAGAAACCCTTCGGCTGCGCGCACTGCGGCAAGGCCTTCGCCGACCGCTCTAACCTGCGCGCGCACATGCAGACGCACTCGGCCTTCAAGCACTTCCAGTGCAAGCGCTGCAAGAAGAGCTTCGCGCTCAAGTCCTATCTCAACAAGCACTACGAGTCGGCCTGCTTCAAGGGCGCCGCCGCCGGCGGCCCCCCGGCCCCGGCGCCCGCCGCGTCGCCGCAGCTCAGCCCTGTGCAGGCCTAGGGCGGCGGTGCCTCCGCCAGCCGGGTCGGCTCTCAGCAATACGGGCCCCCAGGGAGGTCTCCGCCGGCGAACAGGCGGAGGGGCCGGAGGGCGGGCCCCTCCTCACAGCAATAGGGGGAGGGGGCCCGGCCCCGCCCCGCCCGCCAGGGGCCCTGCCGGCCCCTTCAAGCAATAGGGTCCCGAGGGGAGACCCACCCCGAGCCCCCTCCCTTCCCCTCCAGGGTGCCCCAGGCTATTTCCCAGCAATAGGGTCGAGGAGACCCAGAACCGAACCTCATCTCCGAGTTAGGTCTCTGAAGACTGGGGTGGGGTGAGGTAGGGAGCTCCCCCTTCCTCCCTCTTCTGCGCCCCTGGATCGTGTCGCAGAGACTCAGGTCTTCCCCACCCCTTCCCAAGCCTTCCAGGGCCAGGCCTGCGGCCTAGACGTCCAGGGAGCCGGTCCCTCCCCAGCAGCAGGCGGGGGAGGGGCAGGATGGGGGGCCGCAGAGGCGTCCCTACTCCTCAGTGTTCGTTGAACCCCAGGAGTGTTAGACGCGTTGGGGATCGGGGAGGGGGGCGGATGGCGGCACCTCTCTCCCTTGGGTTCCTTCTGGGCCCTCAGTCCGAGCCGCTCTCCTACCCTCGCCTCGCATCCCCTGCCAAATCCGAATTCTTCCAGCCCAGCTTCCCGGGCTCTGTCCTCCATAACGAATAATAATGACGCATATCAAATCGCATGGACTTATCCGACCTCCTCAGAACCCGCTCCCGCCCTGCCCCGGGGCCCCCTCCCTCGTACCCGGGCATTCGGTGTTGGAGGACGGATTTCTGGGGCCCGGCAGGCAGACCTGGGCACAGCCCTCTACACACCTCTCTGTATTCGCTTTGCGGGTAAAGCCCCCTGGGGGGGGTTGCGGATGCGTCGGGTTTCTTTCTGTATTTGTACGTTATATTTATGAACGGATTGCACTCGGGTCAGGGAAGGGGCGCTGCGGCCCCTATCCTTCCCGCCGACGCCAGGGGTTTGGGATGTCCTGTATCACTTTCCCCGCCCCTGAACCCCGCCCCACCCGGGCTCCGCCTCTTGGGAGCCTCAGGCCCCGCCTCTCAGAGGCCGGTCCCCTCCCTGGAACCCCAGGCCCCGCCCTCACTCTGTTGCCAACTTACGCCCGTCTATGCCAAAGCCTCGGCGGCGACACCGCCCCAAGGGCCCGCCCCATTGGCCGCCGCCTTTGTGACGTCACTGCATGCAGCCCCACCCACCTCCCGTCCCTTCCCGGGGCTGCCCGCTCCCTGTCCCTCTTAGTTAGTCCGAAGCCGACTATAGAGCAATAATGCGCACTGCATGCGAAGCTGCCGCCGCCTCTAGAGTTACTGAGAATCAGGTATCCCCCTGCCCCACCCACCCCATAGGCCCCTAGATCAGGGACGCTGCGCGGGGCCGGACGCGCAGACTTTCTTCCCCCTCCTCCTCCCTCCTCCTCCTCCCCCCCACGGCAGAGGCCGGCGGGTGTAATGGTTTCAGGGGCGGGGCGGGGTGGTTGACCCCCAAGACCCCTCCTTCAGTCGTCCATCACCCACCAATCCTTCATTAGACACCAACTATGTTCCAGGCCCCCTTCTGAGTCCGCTAGGGACGTGGCGACCTGCGGGGTGTGTGTGTGTGTGTGTGTGTGTGTGTGTGTGTGTGTGTGTGTGTGTGTGTGTGTGTGTGTGTGTGATGTTTGTGACGGGCCCAACGGGCTTGGGTGGGCCAGGGATGGCCGCAGGTGCAGAGAGAGCCGCGGTCCCTAGACCTAACCGTGGGCCCCTCACTCCTCCCAGCCCCAGCGCCGAGCCAGTGCTGGGGGCAGTGGGGCTCTGCCTTTTACTTGGGCCTGGGTTCTCAGCTCAGGTGGCACAGACCGAGGGCCCCAAGGCCCAGCGCCACCAGGGCCGCCCATACCGTATCCCATTCCTTCCATCCCCTGGCAATGAGGGCTCTGTCACCTCAGTCCAGGGCTCCAGGCCAGAAGAAAAGGTGCACGCTGGAGCATTTGACCTGGCTAGCCCCATCCCCGTGGGTACCAAGCCCGGCTGCTACCCCGCTGCTCCTGCATGGGGGGACCCGGACCTGAGAGGCCAGCACAGCAGAGCCCACGTCCAAGACCCCTACATCCCAACTTGGTGTTCACACAGCTCCCAAGCTGGGGCCTGCCCCGCTTGCGCTGGGCACACCCGCATGCACACGCACACACAGGCACCCCCACCTACCCCACATGCCTACCTACCTACCTAAGGAGAAGGCCGGAGGGCTGTGGGCCGGCCAGGATCTCCCGCTTCTCCCCACACCCCGCCGCCGCCGTGGAAAGCCATGGGCCCCCTCCCGCCCCCATAACTAAGCAGCACAATAACCGACTTAGCGAATTCAGGTAGAAGGAACGTTTAGGTAGCACCTATTTTGTACCGATTCTATGAGTAGGGCCCGAGATGCGGGGGCCCTCGGGTGGGGGCTGCGGCCGCCGGCCCGCCCCGCCCCCACCCCCGCCTGCGCCCCGCCGCCTTGTACATACTCCCACCCGGAACAGGCCGGGATTTTTACTCGGGCCGCGCCCCTCTTCCGCCCCCGTTTGGGGCCGGGCCGGCCGGACAGACGGACGGACGGACAGACCTCCTTCCTAAGCACAATAGCACCAGCTCCCCGGAGCACCGCACCTCCACGAGGAGAATAAATGCCACTCTTGATAGAACTTGGAGTGTCGGGCTGATGTATACAGGGCTGGGCCCGCGCAGCAGGGGGCACTGGGGTCACCTAGGGGGCGTCTTCCGGGTCCTGCCGCTCCTCAGAGGTCGGGCAGGCGCAGGCCCAGTGCTGGGAGTGGCATCCTACCCACGCAGCCTTGGAGTCGCGCCGCTGCCTTTTGCTGGGGTGCGCCCGTGTCTTTTTCGAGGAGGCAGTCTTCCACCCTGGAGGGCCGGCTTGTCAGACCAAAGGCAAGAGCGCACCCCTGAAGGCGAGGCAGTTAGCATGTCTCCCGTGGCAGGTGAATCCGCTCTGTGCCAGGAGCTGGGGGAGGCTGCAGTCAGATCTGGCCCAGGACTCATCTAGGATGGCCAGAGTAGGTACAGCAGGGCCTGTAATCCTGTGGCCTGGGGTACCCCCAGTCTTCCTGTAGGGGCTCCTGCCGTCCCTACAGGCCTGACAGCCACCAGTGAGCCTTCCTCGATGCCACTGGAGAAAATGGTGACAGCAGAGGGTGTGGGGTCTGACCCCTTCCTGCAGCCTGCTGTCCACATCCTGACTCCCAGACTCAGGGGATATGTTCCCACACTGAGGAGCCCTCCATAGGTAGCTGGGCCAGGCTGGCTCTGGGGAGGAGGTGCCCAGGGGTCATAGGCGTTCCCACAGCCGCCCACAGCCACCCACAGCCCTCGGGCTCTAGACAGGACGTCATGTTGAGGAGATGAGGGGCAGGGCTGTGCTGGGCTCAGAGAGCCCAGGGACATGGACCCCTACCCCAGCAAATGCCCTCAGCACCCAGGTAGGTAGGCATGAGCTGAGAGGTCCCACATCTTTGGAGACATGTGGTCAAACCAGGTCAGCCCAGGGCCAGAGCAGCTGTCTGCACGCTGGCAGGGGACAGGCCCACCCAGACTCCACTGGTATGGACAGCAGGGGAGACTGACCTGCAACAGACCATAGCCTGTGGGCCTGCTGCCCAGGGTGGGGCTCACCTGGAGGTGGGCGCCCCCTTCTGGGGAGCGTTATCCGCCTTAACAACCTCAGGAAAACCCCCAGTGTTGGTAGAGGATAGGTAGGAGTCATTGCCTAATTTGCATATGAGGACTCTGAGCCTCAGGGAGAGAACAAGCCCTGCCCAATACCCCACTCACCCTAAACTCAGATTCACACCTGGGTGGGCACCAAGGCCAGGGAGGAAGGCTCTCAGAGGTCCACTCCTCCCCAGGGCTCCTCAGCTTCGCGGTCTGGACTGACTGTTTCTGCTTCTCCAAGACTCTAAGGGGCAGTGGGGGTGGAAGGATGGAGGCTGCCTCCCCGGTGCCTGGGACGAGCCCACCCTTGTCTCCACAGGTGTCCACGGACAGAACTTTGCATTCCAGGGAACAGGCGGTACAGGCTGCTGGTCACCATGTCCAGTGTCTTCCCTCACAGGCTTCCTTGGCCTGCCTGCGGTGCCTCCCACCTAGTGTCAGCCCGAGGCCCTTTCTAAACCCCAAAACCCTTCCAGCCCTTTATTCGGCCAGACCTGCAGGTTCCTCACACCGGCCCAGGTGTTGCTTCCACCGGCAGGGAAACTCGCCACTGAGCTTTCTTCGACAACTCCTCATGCACACATTTGTCCCCAAACAACCTCACCTACCTTGACCTTTTCCCTCTCCCCTGTGGGTCTGGGCCGCACCTCACCCAGGATCCTGAGGTGCTGGGGCTGTGGGCGGGGCTGGCGTAGGCCCTCCCTCCCTCCTAGAGGTCCCGCCCACTATCAACCACAGGCCTCCGCCTCCCTCAGAGAGGCCCTGCACCCCGCTGGTACAGGGGCTCTTCCTTATTGGTGCCTTCACAGCCCCTGCCTTCCCATTGGCTCGAGGCCTTCATCTTGCTCTCAACTTCGGTGGTGGAACCCTTGGTTCCCCCACAGCCCCCGGTCAGATCGGTCCTTTCTGGCGTTCCCCAGTCCACCCTGGTCCCCTCACTCCTACTGCTTCTCGTCTGCCGACGACTTGGAGCCTGGACGCGGACACAGGCAGCCGCTTCTAACACGGCCCTTCACTCCTCGTTGGCTACGGCGCTCAGCCTCTCTGGGCCTACTGGCAGCCTGAGCCGTCGGTCTTCCCCTCTACCAATCAGCGTGCCAGTCCGGGCCGGCCCTCTAGTCTTGGCTCTGTATTGGAGGATGGCAGGGCCACAAGGTGCGCGGAGACACGTGGGCGTGGGTGGGGAGCTTACCACTAGCTGCCTGGGAGAGGTCTGGGGACGGAGGGCCAGAGCTCCCAGGTCTCACCCCTACGCTGCGGGCTCCCGAGAGGACCCTCTCCTGCGTCCGACCTCCCTTGGGATCAGTACTCAGAAAGGCCTAGCTCCCCCTGGCTCAGGTCTGCCTAGGAACAGACGAACGTTCTTGGACACTGGATAGGAGACGGGGCTGGTCCTAACCCACCGAGGCTGGGCCATGTGGGCACGCAGGAGGGGTTCTGGCGCCCAATGAGGGCGGCCCCTTTAGCAGGCTACTCGAAAACACCTGCAAGGTAGCCTCAGCCTGCCAGGAAGGGATGCCAGGCTGGTATAAGCCGCAAATGGTCCGGTGGCAGAAGCACGTGTCACCAGGGGGCCCAGGTGCCTTTCCGTGGAGGTGATGGATCCAGGGCAAGCCCGGCGGGAAGGAGGGCTGACCTCAGGCTGAGCCTCTGGGTTTGTTTGCTTTCAGAGAGGTGATCTTCTCAGCCTTGCTTACCTCAGAGGAGTGAATGGAGTGGGTTCTGCGGCTAGGGGTGTTTCTTGGGTAAACCAGGCCTGAGCCCCCAGTGAACCCTCGCATCCGGAAATCCAGGATACTCACACTCCATGCTCTTTGCAAAATGCACGTCAAGCCAAGTGGGACCGGACTTGCCTGCCCACGGTTCTCACCGTGCAGTTGTTATGGTGTATTAGTTGCTTCATTTAACGACTGGATGACTGCAGACAGTGCAATGACACAGAAGCCTCTGGGCCCCCGCGAATTGGCACTTCAGGATCCCCACGCCCTGGCAAAACTGGCCCGGGTGCGAAACGCAGGAAGCTCTGCAAGTCTGCGGACGAGGGCAGAAAGGGGCTGGGTGGAGAGGCGGGCTGGGCGTGCCCATTGTGGGGGCGAGGGCCCGCACCCTTGCCCTTCCCCGTCCTGGGCCTGCAGGGGAGAGGTGCTGCCCTGGGAGTAGGTGGGCCAGGCGGAGGTACCCGGGACGCGGGGCCTGGGGCCTTTCTCTCGCTCCATCCTTCGGCCTGGCGCTTGTCTGAACAACCTAAGCGGAGGAAAAGCGGGGGCCTACGGTAGTAACTAGAGGGCTCGCGGAGCATCAACGCTCTGGTGTCTGTCTGACAGTAACGCACGAGGCATTTCATAAATAACCTCCATCCCCACACCCCGCGCCTGGGCTGAGGCATGACGAAACCCTGTGTTTAAAGAGCGGGACAAGGGTCAGGCAGCGGTCAGGAGGGGCTTCCAGCTGCCAGGAAGCCGCGCGTTTCCCGCCGAGGCCCTCGGGGAGCAGCGTCCGCCCCTGGCTGCGCGCCCACCTCCGCGCGCCGGCTCGCGCCATGAGACTACAACTCCCAGCGTGCCCCGCGCGCCAGCGGACTACAAATGGACGCGCGCCGCGGCCACGGGCCAGTTAGCAGCTCCGGGAGCGACGCTGCCGCGGGCTCGGGGAGGACCCGGCGGGTGCGCGCTGATTGGCGGCGCGGGCTACGGCGGCCGACAGGGGGCGGTGGCGGCCTCTGGCCGAGGGACCGGAGGCGGGGCCTTGGGCCTCGGGCGCTGCGAGCGCGGTGGACCAAGACTCCGCCGCGGCTGGGTGCGGGCTGAGGCCATGGGCGATCGCAGCGGCGCGAGCGGCTCCCGGCGCCGGAGGACGGGGTCGCGGCCCTCGAGCCAGGGCGGCAGCGGGCCCGCGGCGGCGGCAGAAGAGGAGGTACGGGACGTGGGCGCCGGGGGGGACGCGCCTGCCCCGGAGAAGGACAAGGACGGAGACGTCGACGTGGGCAGCGGCCAGTGGGATTTGAGGTAGCGGTGCGCCTGACCCTAACCTTTGACCCCGACCCGGGGCCTGCGCGACCCTCGCTGTGCCCCCAGGCGTGTCCGCCGCAGCTCGGATTCCGAGCCCGAGAGCCTGGCTTCCGGACTTTGCGTGGACAGGTGTGCCCCTGGGGCCTCCGCGGGGAGGTTAGGGGTGGAGGGTCGCCTGACAGAGTCACACAGGTGGGGGCGCCGAGGGGAGCCAGCAGCGGCCCAGCTTCCAGACGCCCCTCCCTCTGCCCGTCTTTAGGTGGGTCCTGAGGCTCTTTCCCAGGGTGAGCCCAGAGCCTGGAGCCCGAGGTGGGCTGGTTCCAGCCACCCGTACTGTCTTCTTCCTGGAAGGAGATGGATGGCGTCTGGCGGTGTGTGATGAAGGGGGCCCCTCCTGAGGGCTATGAGGGGTGCCTTGTGGGTAGATAAGGCTCCCAGAGGAGGGTGGGCTGGCTGGGGAGTGGGCCAGCAGGAGCTTGGGACTGCCTGAGGAAAGGGGCAGGGGGCAGTGCGAGAGGGTTTCTTGCAGGCCCTCCCAAGAATGGTCTTCACAAAGGTCCCTCATCCTTTACCCAGCGATTGACCGGCCTGGGGTCCTGCTTATATTACCAGCACAAATGCCTGCTCTAGGGTCAGAGATGGGTCCTGTGTTGGGACTCTCACCCCTGGCTGGGGTACAGGAGAGGGCTTTGAAGTGGGCACACCCACAGGTGGTCTCCCTGCTTAGCTGAAGGACTAATGGGAAGCGGGTAGAGAGCAAGCTGTGGCTGATGGCGAGGACCTGGCCCACCTGGCCATTGGCTAAGTCCTGCAGCTGGCTCCAGGCGGCCGCTTTGCCATTCTCCACGCCCCCTCCCCCCACCGGAGCCTTCCCGGCCAAGGGGCCCTCAGGGACTCGGATTTGGAAGCAGCTCCAGAGCTAGAGATTATCAAGGAGGAAGTGGGCAACCTGTCAGTGGGTTGGCAAGGATTTGCTCTCTCGTTAAAGAAGAACCGAGGCTTTCTTCACTGGGTACTGTGGGGAGGGGATGGGCAAGGGCAGCTGTGGTGCAGGCACTGTCCTTGCCCTTGGGGTGCGCACAGTTCACCTGGGAGATAAGGTAATCTCAGCACTGAGCAGTGTGAGCAAAGGTCTGGCGCAGAGTTCATGATGGCACCATGGGGCAGGAGGGCGGCTCTCCTGAGGGGTGCTGGCTTCCTGTGGGCTTGAGGTGGGCCTGAGGGAGGATGCAAAGGATAGGAGTGTCCTGGAGTCCCCTCTGCCACCTCCCCACAATATCCTCTCCAGGAGTCAGGGGCATGGCTGGCTCGATCTCCCTCTGGAGGGAGTGGGATTTGGGGTCATTTTGTATGAGATGGGGGGGCGTGCCAGCTTTGGGCCAAGCTGTCACCCTGGGTGGGCCGTCACTTTCCTGCTCTACGCAGGCCAGGTGGCCAGAAGCCTCCCCTGTACTCCTGCTAGTTGAGCTGAGCCAGCAGGAGCCCTGACTGCCCACCGTCAAGGTCGGGACCCTTGGGGAGAGGAGCTGGAGCTGGCAGGGACGGGCCACAGTCCCCTCGGGTCTGCAGGACACACAGGCTCTGTGCGCTTGTCCCTCACGCCAGATGCCGCAGGGGTTGGGTCTCCTGGGGCAGAACCAGGCCTTGCTGTGTCTGCCTGCTTGGCATCTGGCCTCCGCCGCCCCTCCTCCCCGTCATCTTCCTCTCACCCGCCGCCCCTCCTCCCTGCGCGTTCCTCCCCCTTCTTCCTCCCTCCCCTCCCGACACTTCCTGCTCACCTGCGCCTGGCAGGCGCGGTCAGGCTCTGGGTGGGGCCGCAAGGAGGGCCGCCCCTTTAGCCCTGCCTCTCAGCTCATTCCTTTCAGGTGCGCCACACTCGCCTGTGCGACCTCCAGCCCTTGGTTCACGGGCCCTCCAGGCGGGGCCTTCTTGTCGTGGGGCTCTCCCAGGGGTTTGTCTCTGGGGTGTCCTCTGTTTCTCCCTCTCTAGCAGGGACTGAGGACACGGGGAGCCCACCCAACTGCAGGAAGTGCCAAGGGGGTGGCAGCTGGGAGGCGCGCTGGCACCCTGCCCCCTCCTTGTTCTAACTGGCCCTGGAGCTGGACCGTGTGGTCCTGCGTGTGTGGTCCACACTTGGGGCTGTGCCTCTGGGCAGGCTTTGAACCTCGGTGAGCCTCAGTTTCCCCGTGTGCCTGCCTCCCAGTGCTGGTGTGAGGCGGTGAAAGAGGTGATACCTGTGATGAGTTAGAATGGCCCTGCTGGCTGGGTGGGATTCGGGAGCAGGTGGGCGGGCCGATGCAGGGCACAGAGGTGTGGGCAGCGCCTGCAGTAGGGGAGAGGGTGACAGAGCTCTGGGCGAGGCGGCGAGGCCCCGCGTCCATGCCAACCATGCCTGGTGCCCTCTGGTCCACTGTAGCTGACCGCATCGGCAAGGCTGGACCTCTGGGGGGATTGGTGGGTGGTGGGCTTCCTTCCCTGGGTCGGGCCCTCCGACCTCCAGGGGCACAGAGCTGCCTGGGTTGGGGGTGGTCAGAAGGCTGGTGGAGGGACCTGAGGGGCGGGTGTGGGTGGCTTGGGGAAGGCCTTAGGAGCCTGACAGCAGTGATCCGGGAGAGCTTTTATAATGTTATTTGTTGTCAAGTTTGGAAAATGCCACCCTTCCCCCACCCCCATTTTCATCTTAGAGATTGCTGCAGATAAAGTCAGCGTGGTCTTCTCAGTGGCCCAAAGCGGGCAGGGGTCACGCTGTTGTGAAACAGTCCCCTGGGCGTGTCGAGCCGGGCGTGGACATGCAGATGGCGGTTGGCAGGTTGTGGCATGAGGTGGCTTCGGGACGCTTCCAGTAAAAGCGACTGGGATTGAATTTGGGGGAGGGTTCTGGGCAAGCCCGTCCAGTGGAGAGGCCCAGAGACTGTCCCGTCTGGGGAGCTGGGCCTTGGAGCTCTGCTTGCCTCTCCGAAAGGCAGAGCGCCTGGGGTGGAGCTCACAGCCCCGCTGCGTGTGCTCCAGGATGGTGCTGGAGGGCAGGTGCAAGGAGGCCAGGCCTGTGACTGGGAGAGGCGGGTGGGCCAGGTGTGGGCAGACCTCGGTCTGGGAAGGCAGAGGTCAGACCGTCAGCACTGCCCTGGCTGAAGATGCTGAGTGGCGTCTCGTCCTCCCTGGCTCCTCATCTCCTGGGTGCGGCCATCTGAGTGCTGACCCCAGCCATAGCCAGGCCTGCCACAGAGGCAGGGCCACCCCCGGAGGCCCTCTCTTCTGTGCCCCAGCTGCCTCTTGAGGTGGAGCTGTGTCCACGGGAAGGAAGGGGAGGCCCTGGCTTCTTCTCTTACAAAACCGGAGGCCTTGCTCAATGCCGTGGAAGGCCTCCTGGTGGCAGGGCACTTGGGGTGAGGCGGGGCTGCAGCCAAGGACCGGCACGAGGTCTGAGCCTTGCCCCGCCGTGCTGTGGCCCCTCCACCTCTGCCTCGCTCTGAGGGTCAGGCAGGGACGCGAGGGTCTGTGTCTGTGTCCCCCAACCCCGGCGCTGGGTGGGAGCGCTTATGGCCACCGAAAGTGCCTCCGCTGGCTTCTACTGTAGACCTCCCTGCCATCAGGCGCCCAGCGCCCGGGTGCCGGTGCCCGCTGGGACCTGTGTGGCCCAAATGGAGGGAGGAGGCGGTTGGAGTGGGGCCCTTGGCTCACTGGGTGGTGGGCTGGGCCGACTGCAAAGGCAGATTCGCCCCCCCCATCTGTCCAACGTTGCCGGGTGGGCCCCCGGACCCCTGGGGTGGACTCTTCCTGTGGGCCCATCACCACTCCTTAGCCAGCAAGGGTGGCGGCAGCCAGAGGCATCTGTGGAGGGAGGTGGACTTCCAGCCCGGGGGACTCGGGCCCCGCGTAGCCAGCTCCTGCCTGTGGCGTGCCCCCGCCCACCTGCAGCGTGGAGCGGCAGGCCTCTGAGTGTTCCTGAGAGCTTGGCACGGCCTGGCCCCTCTCTGGTGACAGTGGGGGAGTAGGATGGTGGGCAGATGGGTGTGCGCTGCCCAGAGGGAGGGGCTGGGCGTGGCCAGGTTCCCAGGTGTCGCCAGGGCTGCGGCGTGGGCCTGCTTTTGGCCTTGCCTGGGGTTCTCACTGCCTGGGGCTCTGCGGGTGCCCACTCTTGCTTTCCAGGTGCCACCGCCTGCAGGATTCTCTGTTCAGCTCTGACAGTGGCTTCAACAACTACCGTGGCATCCTGAATTGGTGTGTGGTGATGCTGGTAAGTAGGGTGGCATCTTGGAGCAGGTGTCCCTGTGGCCAGGTGGGGCGCGAGCTATGCCCCCTGGGGTGGGTGGCCAGAACTTTTGTGGCTGGGCTGAGTGGAGAGGGGTCGCGGTGGCCGTCCCTGCAGCGGCCGCATGCTGCGCCCCCGGAGGGCACACACTCAACCCTTGTCCCTGTTGCATCCCAGGAGACGCCTGCAGGGCTAGCATGGGAGCCTTTGTGCCGTGGGCTGTGCCCGAGGGGCACTGGGGTCTCCTGAGGGGCTTCTCTGGCTTGGCGTGTGGGCAGGAAGGAGTAGATGGGCTGGTGGGCCTTGGGGCTGTGGAAGGGGCGTTGTGGGCGCAGCGCCTCCTGGCAGCACGTGTGAGTGGTCTTGGGGCTCCGGGAAGAGGTTCCTCTTCTGTTCCAAATGGCCCTTGTGGGCGTGGAGCCCCCGGGCAGGCCCGGACTTGGGGGAGCAGGGGTGAGAATACGGTTCTAGCCCTGGGCCCCCCTCCCTCAGTCTCAGGAGGGTGAGAGCGGGGAGCCCCGCGCCTGCCTCACTCTGCGGCCTGGTCGAGGCCACTGCTTCAGGGGCCCCGCTCCCCTGGCATTTGGCGGGGCTGGGCCAGCAGCTCTGGCCCACAGGAAGCTAGAGTCCCGCGCTCCAGGGTACAGCCTTCGGGCGGGGCAGGGGGCAGGGGCCTCTCTGGGCCCTGCCCCCGCCACTCAGGGCTGATGTGGCACCCTCCACCCGACGTGTCCGCCCTTGACCCTCCACCCGACGTGTCCGCCTGTCTTGGGCGTGGCTCCCGCAGCTGCCCGTGTACAAGGGGCTCCCGCACCTTCCCTGCCTGTGGCCCCAGGAGGCTGCCTGGGGAGCTGTGGGGCACCATGCAGCCTGGTGGGTGAGAAGCTGGCTGGGCAAGGGGAGAGCGGGCCATTGGCCAGCCCAGACCCAGGAGATGACGTGTCCCTGGTCTCTGGAGGCCACTGCCGGCCGAGGCTGGGTTTGTGAAGAGGGGGTCTTGCGGGGCAGGCCCTCAGCTGCCTGGGCAGCACTGTCTGCTCCCCTGCAGCCCCTGGGCCTACCTGGCCCTTTGGTGTCACCCCAAAGACTTCCCCCTGCTTCTGGTACCTCTGCCACACCCTTCCTGTAGGAGACGTGCATCCCGCGCTGCGTTCCCTCTGCAGCCTGGGCCTCCAGGTGGGTGCTGCCTGTTTGCAGCTCCAGCTCTCGCCTGCTGTGAGCTCTCAGGACAGGCTACCGCCGGGTGGGGTGGCGCCACGCGGGGTAGGACCGCGTGTGTCCTGGTAAGCTGGCTGCTCTGGCGTTTGACTGGGGGAGGGTGTGGCAGCCGGGCCGCATCTCGGAACTTGTTTGCCTCCTCGTGAGACTGGTAAGGGAGCCCACCAGCGTCCCCTGAGCCCACCAGCGCCCCCTGAGCCCACCAGCGCCCCCTGGAGAAGCATCACTTTCTGCAGCCCTTCCGTAACCTGCACGGGGCCTGTGCCTTGTGGGGTGAGGGAGCAGGTCCCTGTCCCTGCAGAGGAAAGCCAGGCACCCAGCCACTGGCTAAGGCAAGAGCTTGTTGTGATGGGGGCTCCATCCTCAGCTGCTGTTGCTGCAGGAATGGCCGAGGCGGGCAGGGGCGTGAGTCACAGTGTGGCGCTCGAGGCCCAGCTTCCCCCAGCCCCTCAGGACTCTGGCCCGCTTCTTCCTACCCCCCCACACAGGGCGTGGGCACTCCCGGTGCAGCGCCTGCCACACAGCCGGGCTCTATGAGGACTGGCCTGACTGGCAGGGCGGTGCCCTGGGCGTGGGTGGCGGCTCCATCTGGCAGGCTTGGACTTTGGGACTGTTGCTGTGGCCTTGGGGCCCTCACCAGCTCGGTGGGATGGATGTGGGCTGCTGGACGGCGTGGGTCTCTGTCTGCTGCTGAAGACACAGGCATCTGAGAAGTGCCTGGTGTCGGGGCCGGCTCCTCATTGGTGTGCCGGGGGCAGTGCCGAGGGGCTTCCCGTCCCTGCGCTGGCGTCCACGGGGTGGGTTGCGCGTCTTGGAGCTTGGCGTGAGGTCAGGCAGGGCTGGGCCTGCAGGATGGAGGCTGCTGCTCGGACCTACGGGTGCCAGGAGGAGCTGGGGTGGCTGCTCCGGGGCCAGAGATGACGGGGTCGTGTCTCTCTCTCTCTCTCTTGCAGGTCTTGAGCAATGCGCGGTTATTTTTAGAGAACCTCATCAAGTGAGTGGGCCCTGGCCCTGCCCCACCCACTGCCAGATCAGGCCCCGCCCTTCTCCCCCCCCCCGCTCAGACCCTCATCCCCCACCTGCCCATCTGCAGGTACGGCATCCTGGTGGATCCCATCCAGGTGGTGTCTCTGTTTCTGAAGAACCCCTACAGCTGGCCCGCTCTGTGCCTGGTCATTGGTGAGCTGAGTGCCCAGGAGGCCTCGGGTGGGGACAGGGCTGACCCGGGCCTGAACCTGCCCTGTGGCGCTTCTGTCCTCAGTGGCCAACATCTTTGCCGTGGCTGCGTTCCAGGTGGAGAAGCGCCTGGCTGTGGTGAGCAGCGCCCTCACGCCCACCCTCGCCCTGCCCGGGGGTCTGCTCCTCTCCAGCCAGACTTAGGGCAGACCAGCAGCCCGGCCCACTGTGTCTCATCCAGGCTTTGGGGCTGTGTGTGGCTTTCCCGGGAGGGGCTGCACCACAGGCCTGGCAGCCATGCCCTAGGGAGACCCTCTGGCCGGGGAGTGGGGGCCCCCGGCTGAGCGCTGTGCTCCTCCCCCCCACCCCAGGGTGCCCTGACGGAGCAGGCAGGGCTGCTGCTGCACGTGGTCAACTTGGCCACCATTCTCTGCTTCCCGGCGGCTGTGGCCTTCCTGCTTGAGTCCATCACTCCAGGTGGGCCACCCATCTCAGCCCCATCCCAACCTGTCTCGGGCCCGTAGGAGAGACCTAGGTGAGCCACAGGGGCTGCCCCTGTGGCCGTGGCTCTCCTGTGGGCAGTGTGGGAGGTGCATGGCCTGAGCTTGCCTCTCCTGCAGTGGGCTCCGTGCTGGCTCTGATGGTGTACACCATCCTCTTCCTCAAGCTGTTCTCCTATCGGGACGTCAACCTGTGGTGCCGAGAGCGCAGGGCTAGGGCCAAGGCCAAGGCTGGTGAGGGGCTGCCTGGGGCTGGGGCCACCCGGGGCTGCCGCCTGCTGTGGGGCTGGACCCGGGCAGCATCGCAGCCTCACCCCGCCCTGCCACTTGCTCGTAGCTGCTGCGGGTAAGAAGGCCAACGGGGGAGCTGCCCAGTGCGCCGTGAGCTACCCTGACAACCTGACCTACCGTGGTGAGAACCCCCGCCAGGGCCTGGGGGAGGGGTGTGGCCTGGGGGAGGGGTGCTGCGGGGGGGGGGCTGGGGCGTGGCCTGCTAGCCCCACCCTCCCGTTGCAGACTTGTACTACTTCCTCTTTGCCCCCACCCTGTGTTACGAGCTCAACTTCCCCCGCTCCGCCCGCGTCCGAAAGCGTTTCCTGTTGCGGCGGCTCCTTGAGATGGTGAGGCTGGGGGCTACGGGCCTCGCGGGCTGGGGGGCCACGGGGCACGGGGGGCTCAGCCCGCTGTTCTCTGCTTCCTCCTCCAGCTGTTCCTCACGCAGCTCATGGTGGGGCTGATTCAGCAGGTACGCGGGCTGGGCTGGGCGCTGCGCTGTGCGGGGAGGGGGAGTTGCTGGAGGAGGGTAGCTCGGGCGGCCAGCGAGCTGACACCCTGCTCTCTTTGCAGTGGATGGTCCCCACCATCCAGAACTCCATGAAGCCCTTCAAGGTGAGCAGGCAGGCCCTCGCGGGGTGGGGTCTGAGGGCGGGACCGAGGGAGCCAGCAGCACTCTCTCTCTGCAGGACATGGACCACTCCCGCATCATCGAGCGCCTCCTGAAGCTGGCGGTGAGCAGCCTGGTGGGTGGGGGCACGTGGGGGGCGGGTGGTGGGGTTCTGGAACCTGGCACGCGCCTCCCCGCAGGTCCCCAACCACCTCATCTGGCTCATCTTCTTCTACTGGCTGTTCCACTCCTGCCTGAACGCCGTGGCCGAGCTCATGCAGTTCGGAGACCGGGAGTTCTATCGGGACTGGTGGTGGGTGGCCTTGGGTGTGGGGCCGGGGTCTGGGGGGGCAGGGCCCTGGCGCAGCCCGGTCACCCGCCGTTTCCCGACCCCCAGGAACTCTGAGTCCGTCACCTACTTTTGGCAGAACTGGAACATCCCGGGGGCAATTGTTTTCCAGACTACTTCTCTTCACGAAGCATCATCAGTGCTGAGGTCAGATGGTAGTGCTGGCATAAGTGACAATGGTCCACCAGCTTTCCGACCCCTGGGAGACTTCTCATGCTCCCTAGGGAAATACTCTCCTGGTGCCTCTGCATCGAATTTTCTCAGTTCCGGTAGTTCCTCAAATGTCTGCTGCTCTATGATTTCCTTCTCCCTCAAAAGTCAAAATGCACTTTCTTCTTCTTGCGTGGGTCCCCTCAAGGTTTTTTCCCAATTAAACTGTCATCTTTCCCAATGTAACCCTCTCCCCTCTGGTCCAATACAGGTTTTCCCTCTCCCTGTTTAGTTCAACTTCATTAGGCCAAGTGAATACAAGCCCAGCTCCGGAGGGGAAGCAGCAAGTGGGCAGCCAGGATGGGGGTGTTCCTGGCTTCAGCCTTCTTCCACGAGGTCAGTGCCCTGTGGGCGCGTCTGGCCCCACCTCGGGCGGGGGTGGCCGAGGGGTAAGCTGACGCCCCTCTCACCCCCACCCAGTACCTGGTGAGCATCCCTCTGCGCATGTTCCGCCTCTGGGCCTTCACGGGCATGATGGCTCAGGTGAGCACCCTGCGTGGCCTGGCATCCGCCCCGCGCCCGGGAGCCAGCCCCGTGGTCGCTGAGACTTGCTAACCGGGCCCCCGTGTCCCCAGATCCCACTGGCCTGGATAGTGGGCCGCTTCTTCCGTGGCAACTACGGCAACGCGGCCGTGTGGCTGACACTCATCATCGGGCAGCCGGTGGCGGTGCTCATGTACGTCCACGACTACTACGTGCTCAACTACGAGGCCCCGACGGTCAGGGCCTGAGCCACTCCAGGCTGGCCCTCCTTGCTGCGGCTGCCCGCCTTGCCTCACTGCCCATGGCTGGAGCCGGCCCCCCGCCTGTGTGCTGGGGAGAGGCCTGGCTGGTCGATGCTGCCTCTCTGCCCCTATGGGGCACCCTCCTGCCCCCTCAGGGATGGCAGACTGGGCCCGTGGGGGGTGCCAGCACTCGGGAGCTGTGCCGATCCTGCCCAGGGGTCTGAATGTGTCAATAAAGCGCTGTCCACAGTGAGCTCCCTCAGCCTCCAGGGCACGGGGCTGCTGGGAGGTGGTGGCCGTCCCAGTCCCGCGGGGGCGGCCTCCCTTGGGCTGGACCGTGGGAGGGGGATCTGGGTCCCTTCGGCATCCCAGGGCCTGGAGCAGCTGCCCAGCTGTGGCTGGGCTGGGGGGAGGGGGAGCGCGGCATAGGACGCAACCTCCTTGCATCCCAAGACTTCTTGTCCCGCCAGGCGGGGCCTCAGACTCCCAGGCCCCGTGTGCCGAGGGCTGCCCAGAAGTGGACTTCAGCTTCGGGTGGGACCGCGGGCCGAGAGGGCTGAGAATCAGGACTGACTCGAGGGGCTAAGAGACCCCAAGGCAAGGCTGCAGAGGACGCAAAGGCCGAGTGCACAGGCCCCTGGGGAGGGGCAGCCACGTGCTGGGGCGCTCCCCTGGGGTGGGCTCTGGGATGAGGCTGGTGGCCTGACCCAACCCTCATCCAGGGCCTCCCTCTCAGTGGCCTCCCTGATAACTACTGGCTTGAGGCCTCCCCAGCCCTGCCCAGTTTTCTTGGCACCGACTGGGCTGGATGGTCCCCTTGATACATCCTGAGTGTGGCCTTCGGGATACCTTGCTCCCAGAGCTTGCTAGGGAGGTGGGGGCAGCCCCGGGCTCCTGTTCCCACCTCTGGTGGAACCCCGAGGCTGTGCCGGGCCAGGTGTGCCCTGACGTACATCCACAGCCCAACAAGGTGGGCGTCTGAGGAGGTGACTGGGTGCTGGTCTCGGAGCCATGCTGCCCCTGTCCCAACCAGAAGCTGCTCAGCCCCAGGTCCTTGTCTCCTCTGGGTCATGGTGGTGTTTTGGGGAGAGGGAGGCCACCTGGGGGTGCCCTTTGAGTCCAAGGGGTTACAGGCCACATCTCCCTGACCCCTGCCTCCTGGCGGCTGCCGGGAGAATAGTGAGCAGCGCGTGAGCCGGGTGGGGCAGGACATCGGGTGGGCTGCTCCGGCCCCTGCCCCCTGTGCCGCATGCACGTGCTCACCGGTGGCTGCCTGACCCAGGGGCGGTGCTGCGCTCCCACTGCCTCCCTCCTCTGCCAGACCCCGTGCCTCCCTTTTGCCAAAGCCAGCCCGGCCCCTCGTGACACGAGTGCAGAGCAGAGGTGGCTCTGCTGGGCAGATACACAACGGTGCACCCACCTGTGTTCCACCTGGTGCAGACCTGGCAATGGAGTTCCTAGGAGCCCTCTGACCCCTCCCCGGTCCTTTAATAAAGACTTTTGCGTGCACACGGCCCAGTGGAGCCAGGCAGGCTCAGGCTCAGGCTCAGGTGTGCTGTGCCCATCTACCCTCCCTCCAGCCCCTTCTGAGATCCCTGTGCCCCTCCTCACCCCTCCCACCCACCCCAGGACCCCCGCGGCAGGAAACAGACAGGGAGGCCACACACACAGCCTGTCGTTTATAGATCTCTCTCGTCTGTCCGTCCGTCCGTCCATGTATATGCCTGTATATCTCTACAGAAGGGGAAAGGGGGGACTCTCGTGTAAAAATCCAAAATACAATTCTATGAGCACCCGCGTACCGGTCAGTCCGAGTGTGGCCGTGAAGGCCCCAGCAGGCAACTGCTCATGGGGCTGGGCCCTCGGTGCTGACTGGGGGCCATGCCCGCCCAGCCGGCCTGGTACTACTGAGACCAGCCCTGCACTGGGGGGTGGGGGTGGGGTGGGGGTGCGTGGGGCGCAGGCCGGCCCTCCTCCTGGGGCCTCTAGGAGACAGTGGGGTCCTTGGCTTTGGGGGGCTCGGAGCCCGTCAGCAGGGAGATGGTGGGGTCGTCTGCGTAGTCGTCTCCCTCGGAGAAGTAGGAGCCCTCTCCCAGCTCGAAGAGCACCGGCAGGTCGCCGCCCCCCACGTCCACGGAGCCGGGGTCCAGCAGCAGCAGGGGCTGGGCCGTGTAGTGCACCAGCTGCTTCCCTGAGGGGGCCCGAGCAGGTCAGCGTGCCGGCGCGGGGGCGGGGCCGAGCAGGTCAGCTTGCCGGCGCGGGGCCAGGGGCGGGGGCGGGGGCGGGGGCCGAGTGCGGGCAGCTTCAGCTCACCTGAGTCAGGGCTGCTGCTCTCTGCTTCAAGAGGCCTGGGGGGTTCCTGGGGAGAGAGGAGCTCCTGGATCTGCTGGGGCGGAGGGAGCGTGGTGAGGGTTCCCGGATCCTCTCCCCCGCCACCCCGCCACCCCCATGCCCTACGCACGCTGGCCAGGCTGCTGTCAAGGTCGGGCAGGCTCATATCAGGCACTGTCACCGAAGGGCTGAACAACTGCAGGGAAGGGAGGGCGGTCAGGCTGTGCCTGTGAGCGGAGCGGGGCGGGGCAGGTGCAGGGCGGGGCCGGGACTCACGTCCAGCAGGGTGCTGGTGTCCACGCTGAAGCCGTGGCTTGTCAGCATGGTCTGCAAGTTGTCCAGGTTGGAGTCCATGGCATCCAGGTGGTCGCTGAGCTCAGTCCTGGCCAGACAGAGGGAATGGGGTGAAGCGGCACCCCGGGCGTCCCCACCCAGGCACCTTCCTGCCAGCGCTCACACCCACCTGCCAGAGAAGGACTCCCCTCGGCCACCACCCACCCTGCTCGGGCTCACGGGAGGCCCTCCAAGTTAGGGCCCCTCTGCGCTGCCAGCCCGGGCCCGGTGGGGCAGTGTGCACGGGGCCGGGATCCTTGGCCACCCTGGGGGAGTGGCTCAGGCCCCGCTGTCCCTGGTCACCGTGAGGCCCCGTAAGGCCTCTGGCAGCATTTTAGGCTGGGCCAAGACGGCAGGAGGGCCAAGGAGGAGTCAGTGCTCAGAATGGGGTGGGCGCCCAGATCTTCAGGCTCGGTAAGGTTGGGCCTTTGCACCGGAAGACAGCAGGAGGCGGCGAGGAGCCGTGCTCAGCGGTGGCTGGGCCAGCCTCTCCCCCGGTGCCCGCCAGGAAAGAGACCAGGCCTGGCGGCTGCGAACCAAAAGGCCCTGCCCTCTCCTTAGAGGAGGCCAGTCAGCACAACCCCTGGGCCACCCTCTGTCAGTCAGCAACTCGGGGTGCTGGCTGGGGCCCCAGAGCCCGGGGCGCCTGTTCACCAGGCAGGGCTGAGTGCTCCCAGCTGGGCTGGGGGTCTGGTCCGCGGCTGGGGAGGGGCCCGAGCTCTGGCAGAGCCCTCCTCCCTCCCCAGTGGGACAGCGCTAACCCTGGCTGGACTCGGCCATGTAGAGAGGAGGAGGGACAGGGGAAGAGGCGGGCGACCCCAGACATCTGTGGAGCGCGAGCCACACTGCAAGATAGAAAGACAAGAGCCCCCCGATTGCAGGTGGGGGCCGGGCAGACCCCCAGGCCCCACCCTCGCCTGCCCACCTCTGGGGCAGCAGGACAGACACAGGGACCCAGCAGCCTGCTGCAAGAGAGGGCGGCCTGGCCACACACCTGGGCTTCTGCGGTGGAAGGGCCGTGGGACCACCTGGTTGGCATCTGTCTCCCTCCCCAGCCCTGAGCTTTGTGCTCAGGGCCAGGTCCGCGAGCTCATCCCCAGCAAGCCCTAAGCCGCAGGCCTGAGGACCGCCCGTGTCCAGCCCTCGTCAGAGGCCCGGCCGTGCTTCCAGAGGCCAGCGGGTGAGCAGATGGCACTCACTTGTCCAGGCAGGCTACGCTGAGGCACTTCTCGGGGGCCGAGGCAGGCCGGGGCGAGGGGGGGCGGCCCCCGGCATCGCTGAGGGCTGGGGCCGAGGCGGCCGGCGCAGGCTCGCTCTCCCGCAGGATGGAATCAATGAGGGCGGTCGGGGACAGGGGCGTCTCCACCACGGAGGACGGCTGGCTGGGACTGGCATCCTCTGCCCGGGGGCTCTGAGGTGGGCTGGGGGGCTCCTCCTTGACTCGAACCAGGGGGCTGCTGGACAAGGGCCTGCACAGGGGGGCACACGTATCAGCAGGCGCCTCCACCAGCCCCACCCGCTCCCGCCTGCTGGGAAGGCGCCGGGCCCACCTCTCAGCTACGCTCCCGCCTGTGGAGGCCAAGGGGCTGCCGGGGGCCAGCTCGGTGATGTCGGAGATGATGGGTCCGGAGCTGGCAACAGCGTCTGAGGGGTAGAGGCTGGAGCCGCTATAGGCCGGGGACGGAGCCTGCCACCAGAGGGAGGTGACCACATGCGGCGCCTGCTGCCGCCTCAACCCCCCGCCCCATGCGGCACCCGCCGCTCACCGAGTAGGGCCCCGGGCCATGGATGCGCTCCAGAGAGAACTGCCGGCCGTACTTGGGCATGGAATGCGCGGAGCTGCTGTCGTTCAGCATCAGCGGGCTGTGGGGAGAGGCAGGTTAGCTGTGTCCCCGGCCTCGGCGGCCCCCAGGACACAGCCAACAGGAGGTGGGCATGCCTAGTGCCTCACATCTTTCTCTTCACCCCCAGGATCCGGTTCGACTGCACCAGCGAGATGAGGAACTGGATGAGCTGCAAGGGGAGAGGTGGTCAGCCTGGCTGCAGACAGGGACCCCGTGCCCCGCCCGCCAGCGTCGCACCTTGTTGACGACTTTCTGCTGTTGGGCGTGCTTCTGCCGCAGGCTGGCCACCTCCCGCCACAGGGCCTCGTTCTCACTGCAACAGACAAGGTGCCGTCGGGGGGCTGCGGGGAGCCCCATGGACACTCCACCCCACCCGGGCAGGAGCAGGGCCGTGGGGGACTGCGTCTCGCCACAAGCCCAGCTGCCAGCCCATCCCCACCCCACCCGATCACAGGCTGTGGAACGGTCTGGGGGCCAGGCCAGGGCCCCTGCCCCACC